ACTTAGAACTCAGTTGCTTTCTCCAAAATACCGACTCGTAATAAACCAGTATACACTAGATCTTTTGAGACTAGGAGATATAAAAGTAAGATTAAGATCGGTATTAGACTAAGAAGTTGCACTAAACTATCCGACCGAAAATAAGATAGCGTGACGAGCAGACGATGTACCTTATCTGAAGTTACTCTATGAGTATAACCAATAGGTCATAACTCATCTGGTGCGACCAAAAGTCTCGAACAAGACCTTAACCAACCATAGATTAGAAACATTAACCAAAACATTAGATTAGAATTAGACAAATAAAACCATTTTCAAAAAATTATATATGACAAAAATTTAAGAGAAATGTCTTTACGACTCAATAGATCAGAGCCAATTTTCCGAACAAAACGAGAATTACCCGGGATTGAAGAAGACCCCGAACAAAAGACGACATAGGATTAGGACGGAATCTACCAACATATTTAATGCCCGTACGACAAAAGCCAAATCAAACTTTTATATTTAGAATATACTAAAAGTAAATTTAAATTTTAATTTACTGACATGAAATTTTCGGAGAAAAAAGTCTTCAACAATTTTTAAAGGCACTAAACTTAAAAATTGTACAAAAAAAACTAAAATTAAGAACCCTAGTGGTTCTCCTTAAAACTCTGCAGTAAACACAAAACATCTTGGAAAAAAATATTTATTGAAAATACAATTACAAAAATTAGTTAGTATAAAAACAAATTGTTAGTATATACCTCATCTTTTTATCACAGCTTCATCACCTATAACATAACAGTAAATCTCAAAAACATTAACATCATCGAAACTAAACCTTAATCTTTTTAATTCACTCAAACCTTCACCTAACAATTATCAAGGCTTATCCTTGTTTTCACGACAAGTCGAAGGTATGAACCGTTCATTAGAAGAATATCTCGGATGTGTCATTAACGGAAATGACACACGATGCACTGAATGGCCAATAGATGTAAAACTATTCCCTTTATCTTATAATTCACAAATCGCAACAATTTTAGGACAGTCATCATATGAAATGGTTTTCAACCAAAAACCACAAAAACCGAAGATTTTACAGCAAATTGTTCAAAAAATACTCAAGGCAATTGTCAACCAACTAAAGAATCAATATTTTATAATCTACCACTGCATACCCACGCTAAAGACCACTTTCATCACCCACAAATTTTAAAATTAGCTTCCGGTCTACATACCGATTGGATTTTAATCAGAGACACAAAGCACAATGAAAATTATCAAAAAATAACAAAAAATTATTACAAAGACAAAACATAAATTCCCAAATAAATTCTCGATTCACAACAGCCACAGATTTAAAAGTACGAACATAAGTTTTGATTCCAAGTTTTACAACACAAGAAGGTATTTCTAAAAAGTACAACCACTCCAAAAAGGACCATATCAAATAATTGATAAACCCACTGATGTAACATACAGATTTTAACAGATTCGAACTTACAGACTTACAGATTCGAACAAAAAAGAAATTGTTCAACACAGAAACAATCTTCTACCTTTTTATCCAAAAGAATATGCTCTTCGCGAATTAAATCATTGATGCTCCTT